AATAAAAAAAAAAACATTTTTACATTGTTTTTTATTTATTTTCTTTGATGATTTTTTCTTAATTTTTTCAAAATTTCATCATGCCATTTTGTAAGAATAATAATTTCACAGCTTGTGACGCATCGAACTTTGCGTTAACTTCCAAGACCTGACCCGACTCAACAGCAAAGCTTTTTTGCTTTAAAATTTTAATGACCAATAATGAGCACAGCTGAGACTTAACTGCGTCTATTGAAACATAAAGTTCAGAACTGGTTTACTATACACATTTTCTTCTTCTTCTATTTCGCAATGAATCAGATTAACTGAGTTCTATGAGCATTAGCAAAGCAGAATGAAAACTGGTTTCTCGTTGCATTTCTTGGTACAGCTTGGCCAGAAGACAATTGAAATATTATGATTTAAGGTAGAAATAATAAAAATTATGAATAATAGAGATACAAACCTTAAGTCAAGTATATTTATAGATAACATAGTCGAAAGACTGTGTAACAACTTGTTTTTCCCTTACAACATGAGAAATCTAAGCCAAGCTAAACAAAAATAGAATTTGATTTTTGGTTTTGCCAAGGTAGTGAGTGGAGCGACATGCTAAGCTGTTTATTTGCTTTGGCGTGTTTTTTATTATTTCTAGTATGTGCGGTAAATAAAACAAATGTTGAACAACATAAACAAACATAAATCAGTAACCGCAACAGCCATGACCGGAATAGATAACTCCCACTCCCACTCTCCCGTTCTCCCATTCTCCAGCTGCCGTTTCAGTTCTGTTCGAGTCGAAAAGGACAATTGCAAAATTAAACAGCAAAAAGGCAAAGAGAATCGTCCTTGCCTAGAGTGGCATAACAAAAACCCAAGCGCCCAATGGGGAAATTTTATGGTACAGCGATTTTTGAATTTTATACTATATGCATTCATCTCTATTTTATTTTTTTGTATTTTTTGTATTTTCTGTTTGTTTTTTGTTCTTTGAGCTTGTAGTCGCCTTACCGCGACTGCACGACTTGCCAGCGCGTCGCACACTGGCTCCAGCACAGACTGAGACCCAGAGCCGGAGCCAGACCCAGACAGAGATGGAGATAGCGAATGGTAGAGGGACCAAAACTACTCGCTGTGCATACAAAATTTATTTTGTAAACAAAGTAAATGCCATTACAAACAAATTGGACTTTGTGCCATGCTTTTTGTACTTTGTTGCGGGACTCTTGCATTTTTGGCCCAGGCTCGAGCTGCTGCCACCGCTGGGAAATCGCTCAACTGCGCCTCGGGGGCGCCCATGAGTCGACTCTTCACTTCACATCTCTGCTCTGCCTTCCTCAACTCTCCATCTGCTTGGCTGTGCGTGATGCCTTGCCGGGGATATGTGACCGGCCCTCCGTCCGGCCGACATCTGAGACCTCGATGAGCGATAGATAGTCTGCGGTCAGACAATATTTATTGAGTGCAAAAAACACTCAGCATTCAATGTGCGTGCTGCCTGGAGCTAAAGTCAAATGAGGGTGCCCTTATGACAAGGATTAAATGCCATATGTGAACAGCTTTATTACAGACTAACTGCAGGCACATATATATATCATGCTGGATATTCTATTATATATGAAAATATGAAACGCTAAGCTGAAAATTAGATATGCAGGGATATGAAGAGAGAAGTTGTTGACGAAATAGAAATTTATTAAGAGTGCCACGACACGACAATATATATTGAGAATGTTGCAATGGAAAATCTTAAGAGAGAAATGAGAGAGAATATAAAAAGGAAGACAGTCGACTAGACTAGACTAGATTAAACTAGAATATGACATAGAAACTGCGCGAGTTATTAGTAAATTTCTATCAAGAGTAACTCGAGAGAACGTTGTACAAACTTTTCGCTTATCATTGAGCTGTCATTTGAGAAGACAAAGAGAATCGAAGGAGAAACTTATGCCATAAAGACGGAAACCTGGACACAAATGCTAGAGCTCTAATATGAATTATAGTCTAATTGATAAAGAAGTTAGCCAGACGTTCGAAAATTTATGATTGGAAAAACTATTACATCTCTCAAAAAAAAAATAAAAATAAAAATAAAATAAATAAATAAAAACAAATAATAATAATAAGCAAAATAAAATGCAACTAATAATGAATAATGCAATTTTAATATTTAGAACTCAAGATTATAGAAGTTAAAAAATATATATTCACTCACTAAAACAAAAACAAAATTTTGTATATGTATATATCTTCAATATATTCAACTTTTTCATTATGGCCAAGAAGATGCTGTGGTATTGAGATAGAAATAAGTATTTTTTTTTAAAGATATTAAAAAATATATTTCATTACAGCTTGGAAATAAGTCGCAAAAAATATATTTGTATTTAATATTATTATCATTTACCCAAAATATTGACAGGAAAAGCAAGAGCTAAGATAGCATAACAATCAATAACTTGATATACTTTTAAGATGCTTCGCAGCAATGCCCTAAGAACTCTCCACACTCGCATTCTCTTGCCCACCACTAACAAAACTTCCTCATAAACTCCTGACCAGCTCTTGCAGTAATCAAAAGTTTCCTGTCCATAAAGTAGACCCACTAAAATCTAGCAGTCAATCTCATCGACTCTGGCAAACTCCAGCAACTGCAGCCTATGTCAGAGAGCTTATTTTCCCCCGAAAGCGAATATCTTTCCATTTGATTTCACCTCCAGCAACTGCAGTCGACGCAGCCTGGCCACGCTGGCAATGCTGTTCTTTGAGTTTTATTAGCTTTTATTGGCACACTGTGCGCTGAATGAGTGCTCGGGCTTGCTGCAGTCAAAACCATTGACCGTTAAGCATTAATGTCCTGTGGCAGCCAAATCGAATCGAACTTTTACGTGTCTGCATATTTTATGGAGGAGACTAGTCGAACTTTAATTGGAACAATACCAATAAATGCCAAATGCAGACCGAGCCAAAAGTTTGATGTGCATTGACCGGGATTTTGCAGCGACCAAAGCGGACTCAACTCAAGGGACACACACACACACAGACACAGAGACACACCGATACTTACACCTGCACACACATAGATAGAGTTAGAGGATAGCCGCAGTAACCACAAGGATAACAACGGCTTTTAGCCGTTTTCCCGCTGCAAGTTGCGGTTGCGGCCAACGGCCAACGGCCAACGGCCAGTGGCCAGTGGCCAGCTGCCAGCGGCTAGCCGTAGACAACGAATCCAGTTAACAATTCAATGAACGCAATTACAAGCGACCAAGCGACCAAGCGACCTGACTGCATGGCCGCCACACACGTCGCCCGCTGCCCGCTGTCTGCTGCCCGCTGCCCCCCGCCCATTGCCCGTTGCCGGGACACCGATTAGAGACGCGCTCAAATTAAACGTTTACAACATATTGTTGCTGGCCAGCCAGCCGTTTACAGCGCCATCACACACTCACACACAGGCACTCCCAGAGATACACCCACACCCGACAGTCGCAGTCACAGTCGCAGTCGCAGCCCCAAAAATCGCTGCCCAAATGGCTGGCTGCATAATTTATGCGCACAATTCGTCGCCGCATCCAAATGCCCCAAATGTCTGCCGGCCATTTGTTGGCCCTTTGTTTTTATTTTTGAGGCAACAGCTGACGCTGCGCTTCCGATTAATTAAAGCCATTTTATTGACTACCCGGCGCTGCTTTTTGCTGCTTGCTGCATGCTGCTCTTCACTGTGGTTTTTGGTCGCGTGTTTTGACCAAAATACGCTCAAATTATTTTGCGGTTAGCCTTTAAGCCGACAAATATTTATGCTAGAATACCCTGTAATTGTAATAGTTGAGTGATGAAATGTAGGGATTTTAGAGCAAGTAATTAGAGTTGTCAGATCAAGTTGCCCCAGATAGTGAAGGAAGCATATATATATATATATANAAAACAAGTAAGAAGGCTCCAGTCGAGACTGCTCGACTAGGAGATACCCTGAACCCTCCAAACTGATATTCTAATCATTCTGGACTTCTTTTATGCACACATACA